AGTAATTAATTATTTTGTGTCAGCATTGCGATACGTACATGAGCCGCCTACGTCAATTCTACTGCACATGCAAAGTGCAGTATTTCGGCACTTTGACGACGTAGTATGGTTCCTGAGGCATTTAGAGACAAATTTCTATTAGGGTTTGATGCGTTTTGATGCCTAATAAAGGCAGAAAATCAATTTTTGTAGAGTTCGGTCCAAAACAGTACAGCTGGCGCCATCTAGCGGTGAAACTACGAAGAACTAAAATTTCGATTTTCTCGAAAACTAGCGAATTTTAAGTACTTCTGAGGGTCAGAAATCAATCTGTGACCTCTCTGGAATCTATATGATGCCATAAGAACCTCCTAAAAGCGCTAGAAAAAAAAATAGAAAAATAGTTCAAAACATGGACTAAAAAATTGGCGTCCATCTAGCGGTGAAAGTTGGAACTACAAAAACATAAATATGCGATTTTCTCGAAAATTAGCGAACTCTGAGTATCTCAGAGGCTCAGAAAGTGTTGTGTAATCGTATTAGAAGCAAAATAATGAAACAAAAGCTCCCTAAAGGCTTTAATAAAGAAAATAAAAAAAATGTCATTTTATGGAGAAAATTTATGGCGCCATCTAGCGGCGAAACTGCGAACTAAACTGAAAAAACGTATGTCCGAACACGCGTTTAGGGGTCAAGTAAAAATTGATTTTGTGGGCTTAATAGGCAAAAAAATGAATAACTTATTCAACAAAAATTGCATTAAAATGTCTAACGAAGCATACTACGTCGTCAAAGTTGCGAAATGTTACTTTTTATATTTTTCCTTAACGCGTGTTCGGACATACGTTTTTTCATTTTAGTTCGCGGTTCCGCCGCTAGATGGCGCCACAAATTTTCTCCATAAAATGACATTTTTTTTATTTTCTTTATTAAAGCTTTCAGGAGACCTTTATTGCTTTATTTTGCTTCTAATTCGATCACATAAACATACGGTTTTTCAGATTAGTTCGCAGTTTCGCCGCTAGATGGCGCCATAAATTTACTCCATAAAATGACATTTTTTTTATTTTCTTTATTAAAGCTTTCAGGAGACCTTTATTGCTTTATTTTGCTTCTAATTCGATCACATAAAACCTTCTGAGCCTCACAAGTACTCAAAGTTCGCTAATATTCGAGGAAATCGCATTTTTATATTTTTGTAGTTCCAACTTTCACCGCTAGATGGACACCAATTTTTTAGTCCACGTTTTGACCTTTTTTCTAATCTTCTTTTCTAGCGCTCTGAAGAAGTTCTTATGGCAATATACAGGTTGTAGAGAGGTCACAGAACAATTTCTGACCCTCAGAAATATGTAAAGTTGCCTAATTTCGGAGAAAATCGAAATTTTAGTTTTTCATTTTAGTTTTTCGTAGTTCCGTCGCTCGCCGCTAGATGGCGCCACCTGTGCCGTTTTGGACCGAATTCGAGAAAAATTGATTTCCTGGCTTTATTAAGCATCAAAACGCATCAAACCCTAATAGAAACTTGTTTCTAAATGCCTCAGGGACCACACTGCGTCGTCAAAGTGCCGAAATTTTGTCTAAATGCCTCAGGAACCATACTACGTCGAGAAAGTGCCGAAATATTCATTTTTTCATTTTCCTGATATGCGTGTTCGGACCCTCACTTTTTAGGATCAGTTTTTTCGGTGATTATTCGTTCGTGGCAAGTCCGATTAAAATTTCATTTTTCTATGTCCATCTGGATGTACATACGCATGTGCATACAAAATTTGACGAGAATTGGTTGAGTGGTGCAAAAGAAAAACGCGGACAAAGAAGTTGCAACGTCAAGTATAAGAGCTTCGCTCGTCTTCGGCTCGCTCACTCAATAATACTAATTTTATTGGCTTAATTTATTATACTATGCATCAAATTAGATCGGAGTGCAAGATTAATTAAATTTGGCATGCTTTGACTTTATGAAGCCATTATCAATTTGGCATTTCTCCGTAAAACCATCATGCTATGAATCACGTCAAATTTTGCAAATAAGCTTCTTCCTAAAAAATGAAACATCTGCGAGAACGGTTTCAGATAATTCGAAAAAAAATTGTTTACCATCTTCATATCATTCTCTACCTTATTGACAATATTCTGAAAATTATGTCATGGTATATGTACATGTACATTAAAACTCACGTAGATTTACATACTACTGTCAATGTATAAAGTTTTTAGCTTATATAGTACCACTTTTCTATCTGTATCTAAATCGTAGAATAATTTGCAGGTGTCATTAAGGCATAAAATTTTATGAAAAATTTTATCTTGTTTATGAATTTATGAATATTACCTTATTTTATAAAAAAACGCAATTTTTTGTTGAATAGTTCCTCGTTCAGTCACTAGATCATGTTAGTAATACTGTTTTTGTAAAGTCCGTTTCCATTTGTTGGGTTTCTGCTTTATCGATTGACGTGTTCAAAAATAATTGACTATGTACTGCACTTTGTTTCTAGGTGCACCATACACTGTATATTTTAAATTTATTATTTACAATATTTCGATTTATTATTATAGTCTAAATATAAAACTAGAATGCTGAATATTAAAATTCATTTTACTCACGATTTTGTGCGTTTATTTCGTAGATCATTTCACGACAGAAAGATCAATTTCACGCGGCACTGTTTACCGGAAGTAGACGTCGCCACATTTTGCGCGTGAATACGAATTTAAAAAACGTGTGTGATTATATAATCACAATAAATTATAAGTGAAATATAATTTCAGTGATAGTGGTATTTTCCATTGTGTAACACGAGCAATAGTGGCATGATTGATCTTTTTTATATCTCGTCTAGAATTATATTTAATCATGATTGAGTTAGTAATCTAATCTACAAAACAGCGATCTCATATTATTGTCTTTAATTAAACCGTGATTACTTTTTAGCGACGATTCATCTAGAAAATCTTGTGTATTTGTCTTTTTAATTCTGCGACTCCTACGTCTATAACTTTCAACATACTTTGCAAGTTTAACTTTCTCCATGGACATACGAATACAACGGGTCGATTGTTCCATTGTTTGAAATGCTAGTTTTCATTCATGATCCGTGTAGGCGAATAGAATCAAAGGTCGACATTGAATCGTAAACGCTTTTATGAAGATCGTATCTTTTCTAATCCTTTGTCTCCAAAGCATCCTTGAAGAAGTTGACTAGATACATTACCTACTTTCTTCCGTGTTGTCCGAGAGTAGTCCGATGTTCAAATTTTATTTATTATTTTACACAAATTTTGAATTTATTTTTACGTACAATGTGTTAATTACTAATATTGTAATTTAATTACTTTTATGGTTAGGAGGACCAACATGAATTCTTCTTCTTTTGGATATAGTAAAGATTAACAGTTTATAATAAGGTGAAGTGGGGTAAGTGCAGACTGGTTTTTGTAAAGTTGATATTTAAACGTAAGCATTTTCAGTCTGCTATGTAAATGCCTAACGCTGTCGATATCGAACGCTTTGCACAATTACTACTGTTTAATTAATATTAACTAGGACCTTAATTTTCCTTGTACATTTTGATTTTGATAGGAAATTGTTTAAAATGTCAACTACTCTGCACTTTCCCCGAAAATGGGGTAAGAGCGTAACTTGAAATTAAATACTTTGAAACTTTATTTCAAGTGCAATGGGACAAGAGCAGAATTATTAACAAATCTGCTACAAAATGCTTTTTACTGCATTACGCAAGTACTCTATACTGCAAACAAGTACTCCTAGCTGAAATATAAAAGGGGATATAGTGAAACAAAACGAGAAAACAAACATACTAAATGAACAAATTTCGCTCATATTGTAATAAAAACAGCCTGTATACGCACTTGCCCCGTTTACGAACTTACCTCACTTCACTTTAACTGAAGGGAGTGTACATTTTGGGGGACTGATTCTAATTCTAGGGGGACAGTCTACATTGTTGGAAGTCAATATGCATTTTAAAGTGCTAGTTTTAATTTTTTTGGGGTCCAGTTCGCCATTTTAGAGTGCAATTTGCATTTTCAATGTTAAGTTGGCATTTTTAGGGACTATCTTGCGTTCCGAGGGTTAATTTAACACGTCTTAAAACCTAGTTCACACATTCGAAGACTAGTTTGCATTTTAGAGGGTCAGTTCTCATTTTTGGGGGTTCAATACGCCCTTTTAGGGTTCAGTTTGCATTTTTAAGGTTACGTTAGCATTTTTAGGGACTGTTTTGCATTCTGAGGGTTACGTTAACACGTCTAAGGGTCCATTTCAAATATTTGAAGACTAGTTTGCATTTTAGAGTGTCCATTTTAATTTTGTGTGATTCAATCCGCCATCTTACAGTCTAGTTTGCATTTTGAAGGTTAAGTTTGTATTTCTAAGGACTATTTAGCACTTTGGGTGTGAAAAGAACACTTTCTGCGGCCCAGTTTAAAATTCTGTGAACTAGTTTACATTTTTGAAGATTAGATTTTATTTAAGTAACCAAGTTCGGGTTTTTAAGAACTAACCTGTATTTTAAAGGATCAGTTTCCATTTTTGGGGAACTTTATTGTCGTTCTGTAGACTATGTTGTATTTTGTATGTTAAATTTGTATCTTGGAAGCTAAGTTGACACTCTTTAGGTCCCAGTTCACATATTTGGTCACTAGTTTGCATTTTAGAAAGTCAGTTCTATTTTTTAGTGACTGATTTGTATTTTGAAGGGTCAATTCACATTTTGGTGCTGCAGTTCACATTTCAAGATAATTATTTCACCATTTTTGGAGTCTATTCGCATTTTGGGGGCAGTTCATATTTCATGAGGATCAATTCAAATTTCAAAGTAGTCACTTTGTATGTTTACATTCGTATTTTTGTTGACTATTTCACATTTATAAGAGTCAGTTCGCATTTTAATAGACATCGTGTCCGTCCTTACCTTATTACGTCATTACTTGACAAGTATAAAGAATACTTTAGATTATACTGTTATACAAAGATAAAGTATATCAATATAGTAGTCCATATAACATGAAAATTGAAACACATCCACTTGAGACGTCTGATAACACTAATTGTACGATATTGAATTAATATAATTGGATACAAATTTCAAAAATTTCAGAATTCCAAAAATTCAATACCTAGAAACTTTAAAATTCAAAAATTTTCTAAAATCTTAGAATTTGAAAAAGGTATCTAAATTTTAAAATTTAAAAAACATAAACTCTCTTATAATTTTAAAATTTCTAAAACTTTTAAAGACCCAAAATTCTTAACACATCAGAATTTCAAAATTGCAAAACCTGTAAATTCTAAAATTCCAAATTTCCAACATCTTAGTATTTCAAAATTCTAAAGCTCCAAAACTCGAAGCTCTCAAATTTCTTAAATTCAGAATCCCAACATTTCAAAACTTCTAAAACCGAAAATTTCAAACTTTCAAAATCCTAAATTTAAAAAATTCCAAAGTACCAAAATTCCAAAATCGCAAAGTCCTAGTTTCTCAAAATTCCAAAATTCGGAATTCTAAAATTTCGAATTCTCTAAATTTAAAAAATTCCTAAGTATCAATATAATAGTCCACATAACATAAAAATTGAAATGGAGACAACTTGAGACACTTGAGACAACTGATAACACTAATTGTACGATATTGAATTGATACAATTGGTAGAGTATTCCTAAGTGATATTCAGGATTACTTAGCTAATTAGTATGCTCGATGGCATTATGGCCATTTCCTCCTGTTGTACCTGAAATATCTTCTTTCTTCGAACACGGTAATGATGTCTAGATTTCCTTCAGGTTACATCTTTAAAATTTCAATCGTTATTCGATATCTTTCAATTTATAGGTTTTCTCCATTTCAATTTCTGTGACCTTAGAAGAAAGAATAATACATTTCGTAAAAGTAGAAAGTTTTACGAAATGTGTTATTGTTATTAACGAAGGAAACGGAATTCTATTGATACTACGATTAATAAGTTTATGGTTCCATTAGTAGTTTATCTTAGCAAAGTGTGCTAATCACCGAAACGTATTTTTAAAACCAGTTTACATCTAACTTACGTACAAAATTATAATTAATTTTGTAATTAAAATTAAATGTTATGTGGTATGAAAAATAAAGATTTTTGTAGTTATTTTGTTTAACATATTGTCTACAAATTTTTAATCGTTTTTTGTATTAATTATAATTATTAGATAGTATTGTAATGTTTTAATGATACAATATTATAAAAATGTTTTACAATTTTAAAAGATATAAAATTATAAAATTAGTGGTATTATATAAAATACTGATAAAATTGATTTACAATTAATTTTAGAACTAATGTTATAATATTGTTATAATGTTACAATATGCTATATTACAATGTTTTTAATTAAACAATTGAATGTTCTCTGACGTCAACGCATTGTTGTTTTTCGGATTTCGATAATTTTTCAGAAAAAGGTACGTAAGTTATAAGCACTTCCTTTGTATCTACCGATCATATCTAATTAATCTACAGATTTTTAATTATATTTATGGAACGATTATCGTAGTAACAAAAAGTCGCTTAATTTTATCATCACCTTCACTGCTAATTGAAAAAGGTCATCAATGAAAAATGAACTGAATCCGTTATGCAGCTATCGTTATTTTTACACTGTACATTGTACATTTTGTACATTGTACATTGTACATTTTGAACATTGTATATTTACCGAGAGTCATTAAGTGCCTCTAAATTTAGTGAATAATAGGTGAACGATTAGTATCATTCCAGACGTATTATTCCATTTTCAGAATAAACACTACTATCTCTAAACTCCGTTATACCTGATAAATTGCCTATATTTGTCATTCTCACTATCATCCATATTTATCAAGAAAGCACTAACAAGGTTTTCTATTTATTTAAGTATCTGTCATAATTTCTGTCATACCACGATTATACATTTTCGAAGCGGTAAAATCGACAAGAGGATGAATCCGCAGGAAAAAATAAAGCAAAAATACGGAATCAAATTTTTGTAATATATTGCTTGATTTTTTGAAAAACTGAGTTTAAACAGTTTCGAAATGTTTATAAAAGAAATTGTTCATGACATAAAATGATTAATGCAAGTTTACAGTACTTTACATTATTATTACATAGTACTTTGACGATTAATGAATGTTATTAAACAAATAAATCTAAAATAATCTGTGATTCTTCATAACATTGAAGTAGACACTATTCAGTCAGTCATAAGAAATAATAAATCTAATAAACTAATAAACCTACTTTAGCGACATTAATAGTTACATCTGTTATTTTATAATATTCGTTTACTGTACAATTAAGAAACAATTTATTGATTTTATTATTTTACACTGTGAACAACGCAAAATAGTCCCTAAAAATGCTAACATAACCTCCAAAATGTAAACTGAACCCTAAAATTGCAGATTGGACCCAAAAAATAAAACTGACCCTCTAAAATGCAAACTAGTCTTCGAATGTGTGAACTAGATCCCAAGACGTGTTAAATTAACCCTCGGAATGCAAGATAGTCCCTAAAAATGCCAACTTAACATTGAAAATGCAAAATTGCACTCTAAAATGGCGAACTGGACCCCAAAAAAATTAAAACTAGCACTTTAAAATGCATATTGACTTCCAACAATGTAAACTGTCCCCCTAGAATTCGAATCAGTCCTCCAAAATGTATACTCCCTTCAGTTAAAGTGAAGTGGGGTAAGTTCGTAAACGGGGTAAGTGCGTATACAGGCTACTTTTATTACAATATGAGCAAAATTCTCCATTTAGTATGTTTGTTTCCTCGTTTTGTTTCACTATATCCCCTTTTATATTTCAGCTAGGAGTACTCGTTTGCAGTATAGAGTACTTGCGTAATGCAGTAAAAAGCATTTTGTAGCAGATTTGTTAATAATTCTGCTCTTGTCCCATTGCACTTGAAATAAAGTTTCAAAGTATTTAACTTCAAGTTACGCTCTTACCCCATTTTCGGGGAAAGTGCAAAGTAGTTGACATTTTAAACAATTTCCTATCAAAATCAAAATGTACAAGGAAAATCAAGGTCCTAGTTAATATTAATTAAACAGTAGAAATTGTGCAAAGTGTTCGATATCGACAGCTTTAAGTATTTACATAGTAGATTGGAAATACTTACGTTTAAATATCAACTTCACAAAAACCAGTCTGCACTTACCTCACTTCACCTTATATACAATTAAAATTTAATCACATATCTTTTATTTAGTCTTCCTTTTCTAAAAGATTTATGCTCATTTCATTGTATAAAGGGTAACAATATCTAAGTTTCTTCGCATAAATCAATTTTCAAATTTACTATGTAATTCTAGTCTACATATAATTTTAAACTTTCAACTTTTACAATTTTTCGTAAATAATAAGGAAATTAATGGGGTACTTTTATTCGTTCATTAAATAAATATTAAACCACACTTCAAAAATGTCCCTAATTCTCTCATTTCTATATTTCTACTAAAACTTTTAGTCTCCGTAAAATTTCATTTTGTCAACCATTACCATAAATAATAAGAAATCGAGGTGTTTTTGTATAAAAATTTATTATTACAATAAAAAAGAAATCTATATATTTTTTTACATTTCAAATATGTCTCCATTTCAGAAATATCTCTAATTCTTTCCCTTTTAAATAAAATAACGCTTTCGGCTACGGTCATTGATCGACAAAATGGCGGAGCAGCAATTTCCCGCCAAAAAGAAACATAAGATTACTGTCGAAAAAGTACGCAAAGTATTTGAGTTTTTCAAGTACCACCGAGTATATCATTGATTATTCATCTCCCCTCTTTCTGTGACCCCCACTAGTGTTTTCAAGCTCCCCACCATGATATTTGTCGATCACACTATAGATAAAGCTGAGATTTAAAGAGGTGGCCAGTTTATCAACCGACCAGAGAGACCATGAGGTACTACCTGTTCACCTCGAGCTCTACGCTCGCCGTTTTCTTCGTGTTCCACACCGCCTTGGTAAGTTCTTTTGTTTCTTTTTTTTGACACATTAAAGCCGGTTCTCCAATCATAGTTTTAGACAGAAATAAAAAAAGTGATGGAACCTGGAGTTCTAATTGACACACGAAAGGTGTAACTTTCCTACGAAGCTTCGACAATAACAAATAAAGAAATGTTTTAAATTAACGACAAAATAAAAATTTTCTGGAATTTTATATATATTTTGAATTAAGTATATTTGTAAAATAATTTACGATATATTTTTTAGGATATTTATAAAATATTTTGTAAGGTATGTGCAAAATGGTTTTCAATGAAGTAAGTGACAGATCTATGTATAAAGTGAGGTGACATTCGAAATGTAAAAGACGAGTATTGTGATAGTTTTCATAGATTTGAAATTTTTTATGGGTTTATTTATTTGCAAGAATCTGATCATTCTTAATTACTCACTTGTTTACTGTTTTAAAACAAAATTCTTATATTTCTAAACTTTAACATCTTACAGTTCAAACACTGTATTTAAAAATTGTAGATTCTAGAATTTTTAATTTTAGTATCCTAATGCTCCAAAATTTGAGGGCTACGATTTAAAATTTTAGTTTTTAAATTTTGAAACTTCAGCGTGCCAAAATCTCAAACTCCTATAATTCAAAATTTCTAAATTTTTCAAAATTGCAAAATTCTAAAACCCCAAAATGCCTGAGTATCAGAATTGCAGAAGCCAGAATTTCAAATTTCCAGAATTCTAAAATTCGAATCACTAAAATTTTAAAATCATAAATTCTCAAATTTCAAAAATTTCAGAATCCCAAAAATTCAATACCTCTAAATTATAAAATTCCAAATTTAACAAATTCTTTGAATTTGAAAATTCCAAAATACTTAAATTTTGAAACTCCAACAACATAAACTTTTAAAGTTTCAAAACTTCTAAAACTTGCAAAGTCCCAAAATTCGTAAATCAGAATTTCAAAATTGCAAAACCTGTAAATTCTAAAATTCAAAATTTGCAACGTCCTAGAATTTCAAAATTCTAAAGCTCCAAAACTTGAAGCTCTCAAATTTCTTAAATTCAGAATCCTAACATTTCAAAATTTCTAAAACTTAAAATTTTCAACTTCCAAAACCCTAAAGTTTAAAAATTCCAAAACCGTCAAATTTTAGATTCTGAAAAATTTTTAAGACTCGCAAAGTCCCAAACTTTCTAAAACACCAAAATTTCTCAAAATAGTTTTCCAATACGCAAAAAAGTGTTATTCATACAATTGTTATTCACGTAAAAACTGTAATAGTACACTACAATTAAAAAATTGGTCTTATCCTTATAAAAATAACACCTCAATAATTGCAACAAAAAAGTCACGTAGCAAGTTTCAGTGATCAAAACTGAACTACTTTGTTTTAAATGTTGTATACATGTGAATTTATAAAATTCTTATAAACCAAAGATTAATGTTTTTATTATTTTGCTACATCGATAAATTCCGTACATTTGACGATACTGTCCGAAAAGAAGCGAATCCGGTTTTCAAACATGTTTCTGACGGACGTATGTACATTTTAAACCTGTTCGTCGGTTATTCATATTATTTCTGTTGTTGCGAAAGTCGTGAAGGATATTAAAAAAAAACGTGAATTTCCTATCAAAACATTTGAAGTTTTAATATAAGTTTTAAAATTTAGTAAACAAGCGTGTTTGATTTTTATTTCATGGGATTTGATCAACCTTGAACGATTGAACTCTACAAATTACAATATTCTATGTTCGCACTGACTACTTTCACCATAAACTCTCATCGTCAGTGAAACTTGATAACATTTCAGTATTTCCTTTACAGTACATTATGTACTGTGTACTGAGTCAATTATAACCCACATACGCGAAACGCGTATTTCAGGATTAAAAAAACACTCTTTTTTATAAAAAGAAAGAAATTTCTGTTTATTTTTACTAAAATAAAATTCCTCAATTTTAGAATAATTAAAAATTCATAGAACATAAACGAAATAGTATTCTAAAATTAAATTGATTGTATTGTCCTTTTTATGAATAATAATTTCATTTTTCTGTTTATTTTTATTAAAATAAAGTTCGTCAAGTTTAGAGTATTTAAAAACTCATAGAACACAAACGAAATAGTATTTTAAAATTAAATTAATTATATTGCCTTTTTTATAAAAAATAATGTTATTCTTCTGTTTATTTTTATTAAAATAAAATTCGTCAATTTTGGAGTAATTAAAAATTCATAGAACATAAACGAAATAATATTCTAAAATTAAATGCTTTTTTATAAAAAAAATTTTATTTTTCTGCTCATTTTTATTAAAATAAAGTTCGTCAATTTTAAAATAATACAAAATTCATAGAACATAAATGAAATTATAATCTAAAATTAAATTAATTGCAATATATTTTTAATAAAAAAAATTTGATTTATCTGTTCATTTTTATTAACACAAAATTTTAGAATAATTCAAAATTCATAAAATATAAATGAAATAATATTCTCGAATTAAATTAATTATATTGCACTTGAATATTGCAATTCAAATTGTATAAAATATTGTAAAATTCTATTGAGTTGATCAAAGTACTCCTCGAATGTTAAACATACCAACAAAAATTTTTTTTAAATCTTCACTTGTAAAATATCATATGAAAAGAATGTCCAAAGAAATGGTAAAATATTTTCGTGTATTATCAATTAATAAAAATCCGTGAAATAATCAGAAATCCGTGTCACCGATTGTCAATACGATAAATGAAACGCGCAAATTGTGACACGTTCGTTTAAAAATTATCAAAGTTTTGAATACGCATGGTTGGATGAATCGCTCCAGGATGAAAGACGCGATAATGTGAAACGCAATTAGATAATGTTATTCTAGAACCGGCACATGGTCATGGTATTCTTGATAATTGTGCAGGTGGCTGGTGCTGGACTATCAAACAACGTGGTAAATGTAGGAGTATACTATGAATCACTATGTCCTGACAGCATACGATTCATCAAGAATGGATTGGTACCAACCTACAACGCCCTGGGCAGCAACTTGGATGTTACGTTGGTTCCTTATGGAAAAGCTTCGGTGAGTTCACTTCAGTTTGTATTTTTAGCTTGTTCTCCACTCGAATCAAACCTCTTCAGATAGTTTTTGTTATTGTGAAGACTCTTTAGAGTACTTGTGTCACAATCAAATTAATGATAAGTGTATTTCTAACTTATGTGTGTACACACAATATGATACAATAAAAATAGAAATAAATATAGCAAAGTGTATACGTACATACATACGAGCTGTTTATGAACAACATGGGGCAAGTCCATTTCTTGTTATTGCGAGATACTTGGAAGAGTTGGAATTTAAATGAATTTAAACATATTGGTACGCACTAATACGTATTTTTATGTATTTTCTTTTGTCAGACAAGTTTAAGTCAGATGAGATGTTATTAAGATTTTTAACTTTGAAAATTCTTAAATTTCTAAATTGCCAAGTTTCGAAGTTTTCAAATTTTAAATCTCCAAATTTCCAAATATCCAAATTTCCAAATATCCAAATTTCCAAATATCCAAATTTCCAAATATCCAAATTTCCAAATATCCAAATTTCCAAATATCCAAATTTCCAAATATCCAAATTTCCAAATATCCAAATTTCCAAATATCCAAAT